CTATGATTCTATGATTCTATGATCTTTGTCCTTGGGCTATTCTGGTAATTTTTGAGGGATTTATGGCTTTACTTGCATGAAATTACGTACCTGAAAGTATACATTCACTGGTGCAATGTGCTAACAAGCACTGTGGACACCTGTTACTTAGGCTTTCCAGAAGTCATCCTTATTTCTGTTTGTACATTTTTGCAGATTACAGACATACCATATAAGTTTAAAGGCCTCTTGCTAACACATCTTCTCTGAAGAGCCAGTGCAGTTTCACATTATATATAAAGGCTTTATTAGTGTGATTTACTCTTTTATGAGTACCAGGTTTTTCAGAGATGGTCTGAAAAAGCAGTTTTCAAAACCTGATGAGAATTTTTCAAACATTCATGTCTCAGGGTGAATTAAGGTCCACATTTTACAGGAATGACCGTGTGCCTCCTCATATGAAGGAAGAACTGGAAAAATATTTCTTTTGAAAGTCTGGATCCTCAATGAAACCATGAAAAAAGGGATTTAGATCTAAGAAATGGAACCTCTTCTTCATGTAAAAGCAAGAGTACAATCTGTTGCTAAACGTATTTTGGTTTTGTTTTTCTTCTTTTTTTATTCAAACAAAGAATTTTTCCTGTATCTTATCCATGTAGTTTAAAAATTATTTTTCTGGTTCAGCTTTAGTATGACATAGTATCTGAAATATTATTTGTAACTCAGGATACCACTGGAACTGCAACAGGCATGGATCAGGAAAGATCTATTTAAATGCTTTTTCAAGCTTAAAATTTCCCCCCTAATTCACTAGCATAACATTTTGGAGTTTATTTTCAGGAAAAAACTACTAAAAATGGAAGAAAAAGAATACTGTTAAGTGTCCACTTGTAAATATTTTTTTTCTTTGCCTTGTTTTATAGCCAATGTTTAGTTGACTACTTTTTTTGATGAGTCTCTTGCAGAGCTTTTCCACAAGGTAAATATTAAACAACTATTATGCCATACGGCTGTATATTTAATGCACATTCTTTAACTCTTTTTGCCCTGCCATTATTTTGTTAACATAACTGAAATACATCTTTTAAATTGCTCAGTTGTTATGTGCTTGCATATGCTATTCTCCTACTAAATCCAGCACATCTGCACCAATGGGATGCAAGGGGTCACTTTACTGTACACTAAGGAGGATTAAACCCCTGTTTCCTGAATATGTGAATCACAACTACAGAAACTGAGGTGCTTTAATCTGTCGAGTGAAATTCCTTTTTCTAGAGAGAGTAAGACAAGACAATATATCTCACCAAGGCAGAGCACTTAATCAGTATAAGTAAAAACACCTAGGCATTTCCCGGAACTGGAATCAGCTAGGGAGGAAATAACTGACTGTCCCACAAACCTAAGAGCTTCACACAGACAAGAAGAAAAAAAAACACCTTTATGTGCTGGAAGAAGTAAAGAATCAAAAGTGACCCATGTGGTGGGGTTGCAACTGAAAGCAATATGCTCGTATGGCTGTGAGAAGGTTGAAGTCAGCCTAGGAAGACCCAACAGGTCTCCCTTGGCTGCACACTTCTAATTTAGCTCTACTGGGCTTTTGGTAGTTACATGAAAAATCAGGACATCTAACTTTAAGTGCACTTCTCTGTACACGGATGAGGGGAGCGTGTATCCATTCTGTCCAGGTTCTAGGCTGGCCTACATGGGTCAGGTCTGGTCTGACAGAGTACAGTGGCATTAACATATCAAGCCCAAGGTAAGGTCTTCCAAGAAGCAAGGGGTAAGAGAAATGGCTCAATGCCATGTTAATGATGGACCAAAGCTGAATCCTGTCCATCCAGTGAGGTTTGGATTGAGTGAAAGTACAATGTGGAGGGAGTGGACAAAAATGTGAGTTCATGCCAATAGAACATCACTGCTGGTCTCTCACAGCTAGCAGTGCCACAACAGGTCTATGTCCTCACTCGATATACTTTCTATGTCACAATTATATACCAGAAATACCCCAAAGCGATGGGATATCTTTTGGGCCTATCCGCTAGAAAATGGAAGGTTGTGCATGTAAAAGTAGCTGGAGAAAAAGCAGAGGAGGATTCTCTCTAAATTAGTGAAATGGGAGGCAGACAGGTGACCGGCCCTTTGTGTGGAGAATGGTCACACACTCCAGTCTGGATATCAGTCTAATGCTGATGAAGAGGACTGAGAACAGAGAGGGGGGGAACTAATTTTAAGAGGCTTATTTTCTCTTTTTCCTTTCTAACTAAACTGTGGGTAAACCAAGATACCATACATAGTTTGTCTTAAGAGAAGCATAAATTAAAATACAGAATTTTTTAAAAATTGTTTTAATTATGCTTTTCTTCTTTTTCTGTGTGTTTTAAAAGTTATTGTAAACGCACTTGTGCTGTCCATCATTGAAAGAAACAGATGTGCTGGGCATGAAGTGTTTCTGATATACAGTCTTTCTCAGTTTCAATGGAGGGATATGGTTGCAGTTATGTCCTCTCAGTGTTTTGCAGCGCTGGTAACGTTAGATAACAGATAATGAAGCCGTTACCATGATCTGTAGCCAGAGTTCTGCGAAAATATGAAATATTGCATGAGTTGTCTTGTGTCCCTGATGAAGTCATCAGCAAAACTCCACTGAGCTGAAGTCTCTGTTGTGTGGGAGCAGGGTGGAGAAAGGATCACAAACATCAGAAAAAAAGTGCTGTGAGCTCATGTGTGACTATTTCATTATCAGGGAGTCTAGTTTTAAATAGGTAGACAACCTACAGGTATGGTAAGATACAGAGACAGTAAATCATATAGTTTGTCCTGAGAGTAAGTCAGAGACAGATAAGAAATCATTTTGGGACTTCTATTTGAGGAAGAAAATTTCTGTACATTGACTGACTTGTTTTTAACTAATTAAAATGTTTTATGTTGAATTTCTCTAAGAATATTTCACCATAAAAATAGTAACTGTTTCTTTTTAACAGTTGAAAGAAGAAGAAGGTATAATATTAATTACCGAATCAAGGAGCTCGGCACACTCATCCCGAAGTCTAATGATCCGTGAGTTCAACAGTCTTTCTATAATAATGTTTATAGTTTAAATAAAGGGGGGAAAAAAAGACAGCTGCATATACTCGCTTTAGGATTGAGTAATGGGATACAAAATCTGTGCTGGGTCACTAGCTCAGATCAGACTGTTAAAGTAACAAACCTTTGACAGATTTTTGGTGCCTGTTGAGAAAGGATAGTAAAATGAAAGCGGTTCCAGGGCATTTAAGAGAGACTGCCACATCAGGGGAAAAAAACCCTAAAAATCAAACAAAACCTAAAAACCAAACAAAACTAAAAAAAGTCAAAAAGAAGCCAAACAACAGAAAGTCCAGCTCTCTGTCCCTGGGAGCAATTGTGTGGTGTCTCTGGAGAAGGAAGGAATAATGCTTTCAGCCCTTGCCATGGGCCCTCTAGTGGGATAAAACAAAATGCATGTTGTCACTGTCCTTTGCCTAGGAAAAAAAAAAGGCTTAAGAATCTGTAGACTGAGCATTTTTCATAAGTCCTCTGCTCCGTGAAGGGAACACAACACTTCTAAAATGCAAGGATAAAAATAATAATTGCTATAATTGCTATAATAATAGCATTTTATACTAATGCATATACTTACAGTAACACAAAATGCATATTGTTTAAATTATACCTGCATTCCCTTAAAGCTTATATTTGTCATCAGTATGAAAAAAGCCACCTCAGTAGGAAAACCTTTTGCAGGATTAGCAATAACAATTCAGGGTGATATTTAATGCTGAACTTTAGCCGTAGATTTCTCATGTCACTCAGGGAAGCATTAAGTCCGTGCACAAGTGTGATTATGACTCGCATAAAATTGATTATACAGACTCTGTCTTTATCACTTGCATGTCAATACAGACCTGCATGATACTTCAAGTGAAAACATCTATTGATATTTCAGCCTTCTTGTTTTCCTTAGGACTAAGAAACTTTTGATTATATTAAGGATTTCTATGACAATACAAAGTTGTGTGAGACTCATGTAAATACAAGGTTGTCATAACAAGCCACTTGGAGTGAAATTGCCAGAGAGAAAGTTCACATACAGCATCCATTTTAGGGAATTCATGAACTCAGCTCCTACAGCATTCACCCAAGATCAGATAAATGAGCATGTTCTTGCTATTAATGTAGAACTAGGTGTTACAGCTGAGTTAAAACAAGAAGTGTTTTAAGCACCTAAATAAAGCTTGGCCACATGTGATCCATTGCGAACGCAGACTGGTAGAAGAGTATTAATTTTGCTGGTGCATCTTTAAGTATTTAAGACCATTTGGGCAAATAATTGAAAGATTTCTCAGAAAAACAGTGGATGGCACTGTTGGTTTGCAGCTATAAAGCAATAACGGAAGCAAGTTATACTGCAATCAGAAATGAGCATGAGGTACAAATTCCAGTCGCAATTTTTGATTGCCTACAGAGGTGTTTCAGTTACATGTTTTGGTTTGGATTCAAGTTTAGTTTATGAACTTATTCAAAACATTAATACCAAGAAAAATCACTTAAGTTCTTCCTAAAACAAATGATCTGGAGCTGTAATTCAGTAAATGGATGATGGATTTTACACACAGATTTTGGTGTTGTTGCCTGATGAAAAAGTTTCCGGTATAGAACCTAAAGACATCGCCTTTTCTTGTTTTAGTCTGCAAACCCATGACTGAGTTCAACAGTGTGACAGCTCCAAACTGGCTTATGTTTACAAAAGCATGAGGGGTATTTAAGTGTCTAATATTCTGAGCACTGCTGTATTCAAAAGGCTGATAATCAGTACTCCTTTTGAAAACAGGCCTATTTAAAATCTTTCAAGTTGGTGTTAAGAAAAAAAGAGGCATCAGAAAGCACAGGACGCTTTTGGAAAACTAAGTTATAATGTAACTTTGCTATAGCTTGATGCCAGGTTAAATTAACCCAAAGAAGTGTAAACATATGCTTTTTTATATTTGTAGGTGGAAATACATTAATTTCACCATGTTGTTGTGTTGGTTGAGCAGATCAAAATTATTCTTTCTTTCTGGTATGGTCCTGTGTTGCTAAATCATAACTCCGTGTCCTTACCCTCTCTTTCAGTTCTTGCTTTTTCCTTCATAACACCCTACTGTGCCCCCAATCTGCCCTCTTCTTCTTTGAAAGAAAGAGGTGTATCATCTCTTACAATACTTTATCTGTAACATTTTATCACACATAGCATTTTCACCTCACATATTGATTTTAGAAGATTCTTCTTATAGTGGGAACTTAGCTGTAAAAGCAGAAATGTTACTGATGCTTGGACTAATGACAGTGAAGCAAATCAGCCTTTGCATTGAAGAGCAAATAGTACTATAACTAAGCCATTGTGGTTAGCATGCCTGTCCCAGATGGCTTGCTTCAAGAAGATTACATTCAGACTCAGGAACAGAAAAGGACATTTTTGATGCTATTTGGAAACCTTTTATGATTTATATTTCTTAGAAGTGGTGTGTGGGGTTTTCATTTCACTTTTGTTTTGTTAGTTATACAGTGAACTTGTTTGGCTCCTGCAGGGCTTCTGCAGGGGCTTTCTTTTGACTGGCTTAAACCCCTATTCTTTACACTTTTTTTTTTTTTTCTAAATTTAATGACAGAAAGTGTGGATTACATTGCTTAAATGAATGGGTGTTTTAAGTTCACTTCATCAGCATTAGAAAATGGAGATAAGTATAAGTTGCAAAGAACTTTGACTCTTTTGTTTAATTTTCAATGCTTATAGATATCCATGTGGTAGATGATTCAGAAATGCAAAACAGTTACACATAATAATTCAAAAAGAGAATAAAAAAGTGCCCAAAATACCCAGTCATATTTATCTCAAAACCTCATAACCTGCTCCTTTAACTATGAATTTTCCGTTCATGGTTCCTTTGTGTTCAACCTTTCAGAACCCAGTTTTAGGTGGTTAACAGGACTTCATGTTGTGATATCTGGGAATGCTTATGTAAGAACTGTTTTATAGTAGCCAGACAAGAATTGCCAGTAATACTAAGAAAAAAATCTTTCTTCTAAGAATTCTGGTTATTTTACAGAACCATTGAGGATTTGGGCAGAAGCAGTGGGTTTCTCTCATTCTCTCTCTGCTCTCTGCATCTGCCTGTGCCTGACCTTCTGTCTGTTGTCTGCGGACGCACCCACTGATAGCCAGCATGGCCACGTTTCTTGTAAAGGAAAAGCTTGTGTACACTCATGCTATTATAAAATGGAAACTTGCTGCCCCTTTCAGGAGAATACACTTTGTAATCATGCAGGTCATCAAAACAAGTACAAAGTCTTTCAAAGCATTTCTTTGAACAAGCATAGTTTAAACCTAATTTCTTTAAAGAAATGGTCTGCAAACATAGTTTCAACTTCACAAATGTATTTGTTATTAGTAACTGTTCTGTGGCTGGTGAACTCTACGACTATCACCTTCTCCCAAACTGTGTTTTCGTTAATTAGTTTTAATCTTAGATGATCAGATGCTCTCATCCTTCCCACAGGAGTTCAATTTATGTAAACTAGTGAAGTTCTTTTGACTTCAAAAAAGTTATCTTAACGAAAATGAGCTGAAGATCAGTCTCATGGCTATGTTTCTTCTCTCCTAAATGAGAAACTCTGCTATGTGAGAATTACATGTTTTGATCTGGGCATTTGAGATTTGCAGAGAGATTTAGCTGGTAAATTTAGGAGGAGCTAGGGTTCAGAGACTAATAAAACACAATGCGTTTTTTTACTTATTTGCTACTTTTGCATGCTAATCATGTTAAGTGTGGTAGACCTCTGTTAATTAAACTAGATAACACATGCATAGCTTGCTAAAAATGTCACATAATGGTACCACATGCACACACAAAGACACAATCCTCCTTTGCAGAGGTCGTTGCTGACGACCAGACCTGCAAAACTTCTTACCGCTCTCAACCGACTTGTTTCACATGTAGTTTCCCATGTGTTCCTGTATTTACAGGATGGAGCCTTACATACATACAATAAAAATGAAGAACAAGGGGAAAAAAAAGCAAGGAATTAATAGACAATGAACAAGTAAAATGAAAAAAAGAATTCCTGCCATCTCCAAAGACTAGTTGGTCTACATCTAACTTCATAGGTTCAAAACAGTTAGGAATGCAACTGTTCTGTCTGTTTTTATAAAGCAGTTTCCAACAAAATGACGAACAACAGCCAGTGGCTGCTCACTTTTTAAAGGTTTAAAGCATTTGTAGGCCTTGTTATTTCAAGATTTCTTGCTATTATACACTGAGCAAGCACAATATAAAAATCTCTAAAAAGCAAAAACCAGAATTTCCTAGTGCCACATTTGTCATTTTTCAGTTTACTGTATTTGCATACAATTTAGAATTCAGCATTTTCAGAGAAATAGCAGAAAAACAGTAAGTGATCAGACAATTTCTGAGTTCTTCTTATGCACTTGTTGCACTTAGATTTAATCCTTCTTCAAGTGCCAAGGTGTTTTTTTTCTTCCCATCATAGATGAATCTGCTTGCATGCCCATTAAGCAGAGCTAGATGCATTGCAGACTATTGCTATGTAGGCACCTCCCCAGTGCTATTCCTCTCATTTGCCTTCATCGTCACCAGTTACATTGCTACTCTTCCAACCCTAGACATCTGCATAGACTCTCCATTTCCCCATAGCACTGTCCTGTGACTGCAGTATGGTGCTCTGGCCTAGAATGTATAGAGAGTGTCTGCAATGCCGAACCAGCACAGACATCATCAGTATTTTCTTTTGCTCCCAATATAAATAGAGAGCCATAGAGTAAAAGACACGTTGACTTCTAAGGTCACCAGTTGATCTTTTGCTGTGTTGCCCTCAGACATTGGAAGATTTAATTTCAACATTCTTCATTTAACAAGACACCAACCAGTATATATATATATTTATGTGTATATAGATGTATGACTAGAGGTGTAGAAGATATGTGGGATACACACACAGACACATACAAGGCATAAAATAACAGCATCTCTTAAATTATAATAGCAACCACAGCATTTTCATTTTAGATCTCCATGGTAGTTTTGCCTCTCAAATTTGTAAATATTACCACAATATATATCTATCTGTATGTACCTCATGCAGAAGTTGACCAGATCCATCTCTGGCAGTTTGAATCCAGAAATTAACCCTCCAGTGAAGATTTATTTCAACCTATGAGAAAAAATATCATTACCATATACATAAAAATACAAACTATCAAGGCAACATGAACTAAAAGTAAGCAATAGCATAAAAATTGTCAATTATGTGTAACTTGAATTAATTTCATCACAAAAAATTCTAAATACAGTCATGAATATATGGTTTATTCATATGTCAGTCAGAAAAGACAACCAAAAATATTTGTGTCTGAATTTGATCCTGAATTCATAACATTTTATAACATGAAATTCTTCATGAATTATTTGCCAAATATGTGATATATGCATATTTTTCTTGTATTGTTACAGGTACATTATTTCCATTTTGCCAGTTTAGGATTAATTTATAACTTCATAGTGCTACATTTTTATGTTCAGACCATCTAGACTGGCTTAGTCTAGTCTTAATTACATGCTAGGAGGAGCTGACTCCCCTTGCCTAGGCAGATTGTGTTTCTCCAGTTTCTGCTATAGATATTATTACGTGGTGCTTTTCAAAGGTGTCATGAAAATGTCCAATCAGTCATTTTCACTTGAAATTAAACAAAAATCTACTGTAATTCTCAGCTATATATAGCACATTTAGCTCACATCTGAGACGCCAGTGGAGATTCCCAGTTTGAAATGCTGCTGTCCTCCTAACTTTATCTGTTCCTATTTGTTCAGGAGGGCTCTGGTGTATACAGACAGGCACCTCGCTGCCTTTCAAACTCCACTGCAATTAAAGAGTAAATAGGGACCTCTCGGTATTTTACCTAACCTTCCAAAGAAGTCTGAAGAAAACAAGGTTATCATGTGATGACAGTCAAAGATTTGTCCAGAAAATAAGCACCATATGTACTAAAAACTTCCTTAACGTTTACAGTTTGAACATAGGCATCCCACATGAGAGGAGAAGGTCCCATCCTAGGAAGGGATTCTAGCAGGAAAACATTGTCCTCCTACCTGGGCAACAAGTATAGGGAGATGAAGGAGGAGGCAGAGCCTCACCTCCTCTCTGACCTCCTCACCTTCTAATCCTGAAAGCTGTGCATTCCTGGCCCACACCACTGGGATGAGGGGAGGTTCCAGTGTGCTGGAGACCTGTTGTTTATGTCCTGCACAGAGAGGGGCAATTCGAACCCTCTCTGATCAAAAAGCTGGTTCTATATGGTTAAACACTGTGATGCTTTATGAAAATTTTGCATGTTCTTCTGAGCATCTTTAAAGCTACCAGCTCTATAAGGTTTTATCCCTAGTACAGTGCATCAGGAAAGGCCAGGTGGTCTGGGTCCTTAAATCCTCTACCTGCCCAGCTTTTGCCCTATACATTCAGTAGAAAGACAACAGCCTTGATGGAAGTCTCTAAGGGTGCTTAGCCTTGGGATAAGTTTGCAAAGTTTCTTAGGCTCTTATTCTGAGAGGCTGAATGCAAAGCATAGACCCTTCTGCAATAAATCCACTCCAGATCACAGTTTTACTCACCATAGGTGAGCATATGAGTAGGAACAACTCTCATCAAGTAAAGTAACCAAGTAATAATGGAAAGTGATGATTGACTGGAGTATGATTTATATTCCTTTTTGACTCTATAAATGCCAGTGTATATGTATTTAAAAAAAAAAAATGCAGTAAGGTGGTTACTTATCACTCCCAACCTCATATTCTTACTGGTTTAAACATATTTTTTCTTTCTCAGGGTTGTTTTACAGGACCAGATCCTTTGCCAATCTTCTGCTTATTCTAAGCTATCTTGCAGTGAAGTGGATAGTTTGGATAAACCCTTTTGTCTGTAGTCTTAATGCAGTGGGTGCATCCTGTATCATAAAATACTGAACTTTATTAGAAATTAAGCATTTAAAAAAAAAATTCATTCTTGTCCCAAGGCCTCCAGGACCTTGCATAAAGGAATACATGGAATGTTTATAAATGAGCACATGAAAGTCCTTGAACAGATGTATTGGAGAAGTGTTTTGTTGTTAGTAAGACTGCTTGTAAGCTGAAAGTTAAACCACAATTTCCTGAATGATGGACGGGTTTACGTTTTTTTGGTTTTTTTTGGAAGGCTTTGATTTTGAGTTGGGGTCTGCATGTAGCTGTGAATTTTACCTTGGTTTATATTGTTTCAAGATTTTTGAATGGGATTTTTAGTCATTCCATAGCCATTATCATTACGAAAGGGTGATTTGTCTGGTCTATCATCAATGAGGAGTGGCATTCAGCACACGCCATTTTTTTCTCAACAAGCATAAAAGCAACCTCATTAGTAAGTCAGGTAAAAGGAGCAGTATATTCAAAATCTTTAAAAATTTAGGCTTAAGTCCTCAGTAATGTATATTTCCTAGTTCATTAATGCAGAAATACTGCACATAGATTTTAATCTTAGAGTTAATAATAAAAGCAATTTTCACTAAAAATATAAAAACTGTAATGGTAGAATCATGATATTGCATTTAGCTCTCCCACAAAAAGTCACTTTATTACTTTCTTTTGACACTTATTTTCATTCTGGGATTAATTTTACTATATAAGGGCTTCTTAACTATTCTATTAAAATTTCCATTCAGAAGCAATAATATCTAAGAGTGAATAATAGTCATGTAAATCATTATTTCATATTAATGTAAAAGATTTTGTAAGTTCTTATGAATTCTGCTGACATGCACAATTGTGAAAAGGTTATCTCTACATTCTGCAGTGATATGCGCTGGAACAAAGGAACTATTTTAAAAGCATCAGTGGAGTACATCAAGTGGCTACAAAAAGAACAACAGAGAGCCAGAGAATTAGAACACAGGCAGAAGAAATTAGAGCATGCTAACAGAAGACTTCTACTCCGAATTCAGGTTTGTATAAGAGCATCGCCATGAACTACAAAGGTTTCGCTGTACTTATCCCTCATCAAATTTTATTAATCTATATAATTTTTCCCCAAATGGCATTTATTAAAAATGAACTGGCTTTCCCTATTTATTGCTGTGTATATTGGGGAGGGGATATTTTTTAGATTTCTAGGAAATTCCTTTGATAATTAGACCTTATGTAAAGGAATACATGGAAAGTTAATAAAGTATTTATTAATAAAGTATTTATTTAACAAACAGTTTCCTTATGTGTGCATTAGAGTCAGACAAAGACAAAAAAGGAAGCAAAAAAGTATATCCCTGCAGCCAAAAATCAATACTGGACACAACATTCTCTTCAGTATTTTCATTTTCCCTTTTTAACCATTTCACATGTTACATTTCCTTGGTTATATTTTGCCATGTTATATCTGCTTGTGACATGAAGCAGCAAAATATAGCCCTGCAAGGCTTGAAATGAAAGATTTGAATATAGACCCCTATGAAAATGAGATCAGCAGACAGACATAAAATCAATTATCTTCTATACAGTGATTTACACATGTATCTGTATATTATCAGCATCATCAAGTAAAGCATCTTCTGTATCTCTGGATAGCAGTGAATAGTGAACGAAAAGTTTCTAATTTTTTCTGTCACCTTTCTTGGGTTCAATGTGCAGTGGTTTTAGAGAGCCTGTCCTACCTCTTATGTTCCTGTAGTACAGTTGCTTAATGACAGGAGCAGAAATAAAAACACTTGAGTGGCAAATTTTCATAGATCAACAATTTCCTGTTTTAAAAATTTTAAAATCTAGTCTCACAACTGGACAAAAGATGTAATTAATTTGCATGTATGACCCATATACAGTTTTTCTGAAGATACTTTTTTTGTCTTTTAAAGTCATTATCTAATTGTTTTTGTTTGAAATGTTAGGAACTGGAGATCCAGGCACGTGCACATGGCCTTCCAGTCATGTCTTCATTCAGTGCTGTCGATTTAGCTGCACAGGTCATCAAGCAACAATCTTATCCTGAGGAGAACTCTGTAGACTACTCTCAACAAATGCCTCTGGCACATGGACCAAATTCTGATGTTTGCGAGGGATCTACAGCCTTTTCTGATCCACTCTCACACTTCACAGATTTGTCCTTCAGCGCAGCTTTAAAAGAAGAACAACGGCTAGAGGAAATCTTGCTGGAAGACACAGTGTCGCCATTTGGAACAGACCCACTCTTGTCCTCCACATCCCCAGCTGCATCAAAAGAGAGCAGCAGGAGAAGCAGCTTTAGCACAGATGACGGAGGTGATTTATAAAAGCAGAAAAGGCCTCATACTTCTCTAAACCACTTGCTAAAAGACTGAGTTGAACGTAAGCACGGTGTTTGTGCTCATTTTAAATATGAATAAGGAGAGCCACTGTGAAGATAAGTTACTACCTGTCAAGGGTTTAAATCAGCCCGTAATTCACAGGAAAATGAGATGGACATGGACTCATATCACTTTGCCCTGAATTCACACCCTCTGTTCACAGCTGACATTTGCACAAATCTTTCTTCACTTGGAACATTTTTACTCTCTTTCCATGACTTTTTACAGTACTATGAAAATGGTTACCAGAAAAGGCATACTCATGTTACAAAAGTGTATTCAAACTCTCTCTTCAATCTGCATTCACTTTTCTCTGCTATAGACATGAGTTTTAGTTATTTGTTAATTTTTTTTATGTAACTAAAATTTATTCAAAACATGAAGCAACAGGGTAAGCTGGGAACTGTAGAGATGTTACAGGTATTAAAACCTGGAAAACAGATGGTAATACTTTCACACAAGTGAAATGACCAGGAAATTTAAAATGTGTAGGCTTCTCTTTAAAATGAGAAAATCCATTAAGCATTTCATGGAATTCCATTTTTTAAAAAATTCATTTGTAGAAAAAAGGAGAGACTTCTAACATATATTTTAACGATACAAAAGAAAAATGGAAACTAACATAATGACAGAGATTCAAACGAACTCAGACAAAAAGAGATATGACATTTCAGAAGACTGTATGGATGTACAAGACTCAACAAACTTGCTCTGTGTTACAATTAGCACAATTTAAAACAAGCACTGCCAGTAACAGTGCTATGTCAACTGCTTATTCCAAGAATATTCAAACTGTGTCCTTTTTTGTGTGGAAGAGATCAGAATTCAGAGACACAACAGTGTGCTTCTGGGCAATGCTTTCAGTGTCCTTTGGCAACACATTTTTCCAAAGGGACTACTTTATCCATACTCTTGCCTTTGATCCATTTGGAAATGGAGGGAAATAACAAGATTCCCATTGCAGACAACTGAAACAAAGATAATTTAATTTCAAATTTGGCCTTGGATTCACTACAGAAAAGCTGAAAAGGAAGATTTTTTTAAACTGAAAGGGATATTTAGAAGTGTTGATGTGATGCACTGCTTCTCATAACAAGCTTGCTAGGAGGTGGTCAGAAAACATGTTTTTGTGACTTAGTAAAGGCTTGGCAGTTAGAGGGCAGGTAGAAGGCATATCACTTCAACACATAGCAAAATTCTGGAGAGTGATGTCTGTTCCTGGAGGACATTCATTCTAATTGTAATATTAATACATGAGAAAGGATGCTGGCAGACGTTCTTCATAGCTCTTCCTCAACCAAAGCCAAAAGATCAATTAGGGAGTTCTCTAATGATTCAAAATATGTTTCAAAAGTGTGTATTAATTTTGCTGTCACTGAGCCCAGCTCACATCCCAGAAGTGTCACAGGACTGGAAATAGTAAGAAGAAATTAAAATGGATTATTGTTTTGTGTGAACATTTTAAATGTATTTAAAACATATTATCCAAGAACAAAGCAATTGTTTCTTCCTATTGCTTCTTCTGTTATTGGTGCCTGGGTCCTCCTCACAGTCCTTGTGAGGTTTGCGTTCCTCCAGTGCCATAGCCCATTCCCGACCAACCCAGACAGTGTCACGATAGCTTTGTAATTGGAACGTTAGCCGTGGGATAATAAATTACATCCAGATGGCTATGAAAGATGATGGAGTATCCAATACCACAAGAATATTTATGTTCTTAGGAAACCCAAGGATTTCTATGAGACTGTGCTAAATACTTGGATGTAGGCTGAACAAAGCAGAACTGATCTTGTTGTATATGTGTGAGTTCTCAGACAGCCCAACACACTCCTGACTCTCAGAAGAGGTTTTCCTATGCTTCCACTTCATGATTTAAAATGATAACAGCAGCAAACAGGGTTCTGTTTCTTGGGGGTTTTTTTGTTTGTTTGTTTGTTTTGTGTTGTTTTGTGTTGTTTTGGTTTTTGTATGGAGGAAAGGAATAGAAAGACACGTGAGTATTAACCGAAGGTAATTGGACATAGGACTGATCAGCATTTTAATTGGGGTGCTTTTATAAATTAGAGTTGTCAAAAGAGGAACCACTTTGTCATAGTTTTGCCAAAGACTAGCTAATATTGACATTTGAATACAAAATATGATGAATTAAAAGTAACATAGCAAGGATTATGTCTAGTGTAGGAAGTGCATTGCCCATTTCAGCTGATGAAAGGAAGGAATACTTGGTTGATATCAAATGCCATTTGTCCTTGTACTGCAGTTTCTACTACATTAGTTTTAAATACACCAGTGTGCATTGCTCATAATGGAGAAAAAGAAATTAAATATTAATGTATTACATGATTTTCCCATTGAACTTTTACATGTGAGTTAGACCATACTTCTGAACTATATTGACTTTAAATAACATCCTGAATTTCATCACTTTTATAAGCACTGTTCTAAAAAAACATTATAGTGCATCCATTAAATTTTTTGAAGTTGATTTTCATTCTTCTGACAACTGCTTCAGTCTGAAGCACCAGATTTTTTTCCTCTTCCTTCATGAGAAACTTAACAGAAGGTAGTGAATGCTCTTTTTGCAATATGCCATATTGCATTTCTTATTAAACATATTCAAGCTGTCTTCACTCACACAAAAACTCCAACCCCCTGCCCAAAACACTAAATGTATCCATACCTGTAGGTGTGTATTATGGTAATGTTGTTTTACTACCATTATATTTTTTCTCGTAGGAAGCCATCATAATCAGTATTTTAGCTAATAACTCTAACCTGTATTACAGCATCACCCTTGAATTTAAATGGTGGTACAGGGTGCATGAAACAGTAATCTAGGACATTCGGGGGGTGAATAGGTGGTACTGAAGGTATTTAGGAGATGTGTGTGCTGGTAAGCATATCCCAGACCTTCTGAAGTAAGCACTCCTCTCCCACCCCAGGTTTGGTGAGGCTGCTGTGAGGCTGAGAGGACTGCTGAAGCAGAGCAGAGCATGGTCCTACCAGCTTGCACAGAGGAAAGGGATTTCATGAATACAGGGACAAATCCTGACATCCTTCCTCAGGCAGAATTTCTTTGCGGTCCATACCAGTTTTATTGGACTAAAATGTGGTGCAAGCAAAATATACTTTTAGCTGTTTGCTGCAGAGATCTGTTTAATTAAATCTCATGAAAGAGATGCATAATGTCTGTGGCTCTGGGCTTAGAAAAGAATGTAAAGACTTACAGAGTTTGACCTCAAGCAGGGCAGGGGGTGAGGGGAACTGGCTATTTTTGTCAGGATGTATTAAAAGAGGAGTTCTTGCTTGTTTTCAGTAGCAGCTGTTCAAAGCTGGTGGACATATTCCTACTGAATACACAAACCAGCAGACTGATTTACACAAAAGGAAAGGGAGTTGAAATATTAACATCCTGTTTAATTTGTGAAATGGATATATATACTAGACTAAGAACAGAAACCTAAATTATTTTGTTGTGCATAGCATGGATAGTGTGAAAAGCTACAGTAAGTGCAAACAGTTTTAACAAACAGGAACACGGTTGCTTTGTATAGTAAAATAACAATATAATTCAGTCATTTAATCTTAATAAGAATGTTGTTATTATAATATCTTTTGACTTTAATAGGGCTGTATATATGAATGGAAGATGTAAAATTGTTGTAATTTAAAATTATGTTAAGTCTCTTAGATAAGTAAAGGCATTTACATTACTATTATGAGACTGTAGACTATTTTTATAATAATTGCTATTTTTCATTATTAACCGTATAGTATCTTGTTTTCTAAGTCAATGTATGCAGACAGAATGTACTTTATTGCACACTGTACATGCAATATTTTTTAAAATTACATTTTATACATGCTGATATTTTATGTTTATTATATGAATACAATTAAAGAACTGAAATTAAAATATCTCTTTGTATGTCTCCTGTGAAACTTCACTCTCCAGTCCCTCAAAGAATGCCATCACAAGACAATATAATAACATCCGCTAAGAACATCTGAGATACCTAACAGACAAAACACTTCACAACTGCTAAACATTTAGTCCATTATGATACATCATGATCCAGTAGCCTCCCATTAATAAAAATAATTGATACATTCTTTAATATGGTCTCCTGCCATCTGCTT